ATGAGTAAGGGCTCCAGTTTCATACTTAAAAAGAAGGAGAGAAATTATTCTGACCTCTTATTACAACAAATTTAAAATTATACAAATGGAGAAGAATTTTTCTGTATCCAGGTAGAGGAATATTATCTCTGGGTCTGTCTGACTGACGAATTTCACCACAGCAGCCCAGGACATCCTTCTCTTCCTTTTCCAGTCATTGCCATCATATTGCACTACTATTGGAAAGCAAATTCATGATAAACACAAGAACTAAAGTAGTATTTCAGCCTACACACTTGCCGAAGTGTCAGATGACAAGATGCTATCATTCTGAATTATACTGTCAATCTAAATGAAATCCATTAGTATATCTTGAGCAAAACCAGCATTCCGTTAGGAAATCTCGGCTGTCCTCTCTAAAATAAAATGAACTCCGTTTAGAAATAACCAAATTTCAGCTTTATGACCCAGTGAGGTGCGACACAATCCCTCCCTAGTAGCAGTTGTCTCACAGAGAGCCGGCCGAGAGCTTTTTTGTAGCGCAGTGAACTGGGATTCTTCAATAGCATCAACAAATACCTTATTATAGTATTAACAGTTATAACTATTTTTATACTGAAAGCGCGGTCGTCAAATGTCGAAATTAAATGAAAAGCAGGCAGCGACAGCAAAAGCTGAGAGCAATAGAACATAAAACACGAATAGGCTTCTAATAAACCCCAAAGAAAAATACATAACACTGGTGTAAACAGTTTTCATATCATGAATCAGATTCTGTGTTGCCGGCCAGGTCAATAAAGTCAAAGGAAACACAAAATTTAATATTCTATCATAGCACTCCTAAACAAAAGAAAAGTTCATCCAATTTCCATGTCAAACTGTATGAGAACTCAGAATCGGGCGCTGCCTTAAAATGCATCCATTAATCAAAATCCAGTATTTGAAAACGCATAATTTCCTTTCCTAGCAGTCTCTGAAACCAAAATCCGCCCCGTGAGCCGCCGCCGGGTAAGTAGCAGGTTGGTCTCCCAGGGTCCCGCTCGGGACAGCGCGGGACGGGACAGTCCCGCATCTGGTACTCCCGAGCAGTTTGTCTTTCCAGAGAAAGCACCTTTCCCTTCCTCACCAAATCTCTTTGCTTTTGAAGGAATAGGAATTAAAAGGAGGGACAGAGCATGTTAATTTGATATAACTACCACTCAGTCTCATTTTTCACCCTCTCCGACTCCCCGAATAGGAAAATATTTGGTTTTCTGACTCCCGGGGGTTGATTTCGTTGCTGTGCCATCGGAGGCAGTTTCACTGTTGCCTTAACCAGGACAGCGGCACGCCCAGAGCCTCTCCGCAGCCCTATCTGGAATGCCACTGTTAGGGGGGATGCCGGACACATGTCCGGCGCGGAGAGACGGCGGCGAGCGCAGCCAGCCCTCCTGGGGCAGCGGGGACACCCGCCCGCCAAGGGCACCCACCGCCCGCCGCCGGGACGGGACGGCCTCTCCGCTCTCCACAGGCTTAGCTGGAAAGTGTCCGGGCGAATCTTCTCCCACGTGGCTGTGCCCACGAGTGGCACTTCCCACACACCACTCTGAGGCGCTGAGACCTTGACTTTTTTGTCTTTTTTTTTTTTTCCTCAGTGCCTTCTTTTCTCTTTTCTTTTTTCTTTTCTCTTTTCTTTTCTTTTCTTTTCTTTTCTTTTCTTTTCTTTTCTTTTCTTTTCTTT